CGGTCTGCTCGGCCCTACCCCCTGTTGCCTCCCTCCGGAGCAAGGGTACATGTAGATAGGACTGATAGTCATCGAAAATTTGGAGGTCAGTATCTCTACCCTTCAAACTTGTCACTGTTGAAAGAATCTTCTAGTAACTGTATTTATACGTGACAAATGAATCTCTTTAAAGATAGTTCCTGATTTTGAACAGTTTTCCCAACCGTTTATTTGTCTCCCGTAAATCGTTTAGAATGAGACAGCAGAATTTTTCTCTTGTTTTTTTCTGGAGTTATGATGTTAATTTTCCGATAGATTCATACAATCATTTAATTGACCTGCAAGTTGCATAATGAACCAGTAAAATGACTTTTGGTGCCTTCATCATCATGGTTTAAAGTGATTACATTGAAAGATAGACACTGAACAATGGGTCATTTCTGGTAAATGTTCTTAAATTTCTCTCCCAAGAAGCAAGAGATATACAACATATGTACATACTTAAAAGTTTATCCAATCTAGACAAAAGACATCCTATATAGATATTTGTGTATAGAATACTGGATCGGGTGTGATGCTGCATGGTTTAATTTCAAAATTTTACAACAGAAAAAAATTAGAAGACCTGACCATGTGTTTTTCAGCTCATCTGCTGGCTTTGTTTGCGTACAATATCAATGCATAACTTTTTATTTATTTATTTATTTATTTATTTCAACTTTGCCGCAAGGGCAGGACAGGGGGAATAGGCGGTGCCTTTTCAAGGCCCCCTGTCCAGATAAAAACATACATAAATCTAAAATACAACTAATAACAAATACAAATAATCACTAACAAAATTCTTAAAGGTAAGTAGTAAAACAAAAGCAAATGCAATAACTACGATAACATAGGTATAAGTAGTACAAGTACAATATAAGTAGAAACAGTGATAATAATAATAATAGTAGCAGTATTAAAATATAAATGAGATCTAAGAACAGAGGGTGTGCCAACTGTAGATGTTTTGCGTATCATAAGAGGTTAACAGGAGGTGTTGGTAGTGGTTGTGTACGGAATTTCTAAAAGTAACAAAGGATACGTTCGGAAAAGGTGACATAAGGACTGTGGCAAAAGACTCCCAGGCCCCTGTGCCCCGAATTTCCGTGTGTCGTAATTATGAACTGTTTTGTATTACCAGTACGTCTGTGGTGTTCCTCACATTTCCTTCAACCGTATTTCCTTGCAGCTTATGTAAGGATTATGAGCTGAAGGTTAAATGCTGCGTGCTTCCACCTCATTGTGTTACAACCCTACGACCAACTACAAGACCACCCACGACTACTACACCACCTCCAACAACCACTACTGCACCTCCAACAACCACTACACCACCTCCAACAACCACTACAGCACCTCCAACAACCACTACAGCACCACCCACGACTACTACAGCACCACCCACGACTACTACAGCACCACCCACAACCACTACAGCTCCGCCTACAACTACTACAGCACCACCTACAACCACTACTCCACAACCAACAACAACAACACCCGTTCCTACAACTACCACAAGCTATTGTCCCGATGTCTGCAGTGTCGCTACTCTGCCACCTCTGGCGATTATAGCACTATTCAAGATTCTCGGGTATTATCCAACAGAAATACCCGTACGTTATATGTTTACTTTTTTTAGATTTACCTTTAGGTTGACTACATGCATATGTGTTGAACAATACAACGACACTTTGATGTAAAGGTTGTCTACAATTCTGTTTAAAGTTGTAGTCGAATTCAACTTTTTAAGTGTAGTAGACATATTTGGGCATCAATCTGCTCTTACAATTCTTGCAATAACGTAACAATAATATGACTATAGTTTTCTGAGTTTTTGCAGGGATATGAAAGACTAATATTACGATATTATACTCCTTTGGCCACTTAGGTTGGGATGACATTTACAGTTGAAAACTGTAAAACATACACCTGCACTGACTGTGGTGTGATCATTGTTGACAACCCTGAGTGTCCACCTATAATTAGCGGTCTCTGTGCCAATGGCAAGGTTCCGCTGTATTTCAGCGACGGGTGCTGCGTGCACTATGCTTGTGGATGTAAGTAAAACATATCCTTACATTGTATCACTGTAAATTAACGCCACATCAATTTGATCTTTTGGTTTCGGATTTTTTCTTTTTTAAACGAAAAAAATCAAAACAGGCCTAGGCATCCTGTTGTATCCCAAAAGCTACGATAGGACCTATAAAGTCGACATACCAAACCGGTTTATATATTCAAATTTATTTCAATCTCCTTTAACCAATTCAATTGTTAAATGGGAAAAGTGTGACAACCAACTGGGAAGGCAAGGGGAGTTTTTGGGTTAATCCAAATCTTTGTCTTCTTGCAAACCTGGGAAAAAAAATGAAACGGTTGAATCCGAGGACCAGTTGATTGAATTGGTGCGCCCCAATACTTTACGTATATTGTTCCATAAAGGGACACAAAGCAGGTTTGCCATCCATTCTTATGTTTTTTTATGTTTTTTTTTTGTTGTTGTTGTTTTATTGTTTTATGTTACTTCGTATGAGCCTTGTTTTGATGTGAAAACTGGAGTAAACATAAAAAGAAGTATTAATATTACAACATATAGATACATTGTAGGACAGCAATCTATGTTTTAGACCACATAACTATGTAATTCTTCTCCAGCTACCGAAATCTAGCTGCAACACGAATCAGAAACATTGTAGCCTTGTTGTGGGAGGCAAACTTGAGAATTGGGAACTTGGGAATCCCACTGGGTTGTAAAGAAGTTTATTGCAAATTCATGCCCGAGGGGCTAATTGCAGATTACAAACATAAAAGAACAATGAAACGTAGTATAAAATAACTAAAATCTACATGATGAAAGGTAGTTGTCTAGAGCTATAGCTATGTCTAAAAGTATGTCTAAGGGGTTTGACTTCTCTTTTTTAGACCATGGAAGACGTAATGTCCCTCCTTTTCTAAACTTAGTGGGTTTTGGGAGGTTAGTGAGGAATAGTTTTTTCTTGGTCTGTAAGTTTAGTAAAATTGGGGTAAATTGTAGAAGTTTGAATAGTTAACTATAAAAATAAAAACTGTCTTATACACAGGCAGCTATATACAGGGAAAACCTTTAAACAAGTTTCTGGCGGTGGAAGTCAATACTTAAGAGCGGATATTTTGTGGCCCGGGAGTATATGTAAAAAGACAATAATCTAATGCCTTTAACTATTAGATTGTCGTCATAAAACATTTGCGGCTCTACTTGGTTAGAAAATTATTAAAAGTTATAACTTTTTAAAAATCGCAAAGATTTATCATCACATAGACAATGTATCCGGAGCGTTAAGAACCCATGTACATTGCATATTAGGCCCGGTTGAGGTATTTAGGCAGACCATTCATTTACTGTCATCACCAACCATTCATAATACACCGATGTGAACACCTTGGCTCTCATTAGCAGACTGGGGCCTGGTAGTTTGTTTGTTGTTTGTTTGTTTGTTTTTATTTATTTAACCAGGGGGATACATATCGCCCGTAGGGCGCTTTTCAATGAGCCCTGGGCCTGGGGAAGACCCCAAATACCCCAGTTTGTGCTCACTTAGTTTATTCGATGATTTTATAGTACATGCTTGCTCTTTAAATTTTGTTGTGTCTTTTGAAAATGTGTTTCTTCAGGCGAATGCATCGGTTGGGGAGACCCTCACTACATGGGGATGGATGGAGGCTATTTCCCCTTCCAAGGTTTAGGCGATTTTATCCTTTCCCAGTCGACGGCAGATGACCTCTTCCGCGTTATTGCCACCAACGTGGACTGTGCAGAGCTACCAAATGCAAACTTCTTCTACCACAACAGTCCCTATGGTCCAAACGATATAGTGACCTGCACTGCTGCCATAACCCTTGAACACGGAGGGCACACATTCAGGGTTGATCGTTACCTTCAGGTAATGAGCCATCAATGTGTTGTGATTTTGTAGGAAAAGATATTGCTATTATTATATATTATATATTATATTTTGCTTTTTTTTTTCATTTTCGTCGCTTCGTAGCTTTTTATCATTGGTATTGGGTGGGCCGGCTATTCTTTTCTTTTTACAATTGGTGGGGCTGGATTGCAAGGGTCAGGAGCGGCTGTCATTCGTCGCTTACTCGGGTGACCTTAATACGACCCCAGGTGCGGCCATAGAACTGTAAAGTTTGAACCACTCGCACCAGGAAGGTCCCCCGACCCTTTTCGATAAGAGTGGTTAGGCCATGTTGATTTGATTATATGGATGACATCCTCCGGGAACCCCAAAACTGATGCGCGCGTGCGAATAAAAAAAAAGTTTTGCAAGAAAAAAAAAGTTGTTTTGATTATGAAATCTACCTGGTCATGAAGGTTGAACAAATGGCACAGAATATGGTTTGGCGAATAATCTAGTCTTCAAGTTCATTTCTTTACAATTTCTTTACATTTCTTTTTTCGTTTGATTTTGGTATTCTACGACATTGGTATAGTTTTTATTTATTTTTTTTTGGTAACTTACGGTATATTTTTGCTCATTTTGCAACTGTTTTGTACGATTTACAGTATGGTTGAAAACTTTTTTTTTTTGGAAACGGCCGAAAATTCATGCGCGCGCGGATGTCATCCATATAATCAAATCAATATGGCCTTAGTTCTTTAACGTGCCTTTCATGTCCTATCCAAGGGACGGCCCTAACCGAAGCAATTAAGGTACTCATTTTCACATTAGTGAAGTGAGGTGAACCTCTTTGTCTCCCTAGCCTTTTCTTTAGGCACCCTCTTTGGTCAATACATGCAGACACATGTTTCACTTCGCCTATTTTTTTGCCCTTCATTTTAGGTCTTTATTGACGGAGCACCGACAGGATATGGTACATTCAATGTAGGTGGGGTAAAAGCCATCAGACAGTTTGGAAATCCCAACGTCGTGTTCTACATCGAGGCGCATGGCATTTTTGTTCAATTCAGCAATCTTGGATACAAGGTCACGATCAGAATAGAGCCTGGAGACCTTGCGGCATATGGCATAGAGGGTCTTTGTGGTAAGTCAGTTTTGGTACACAGAACGATAAATTCCTATATATTGTTGTCGTGTCCAACTCCCATATCTGCCTACAGACCAAACCATCAATACATGACCACATTCATGTATTGTTATGGCTTCACCACAACACGAAGTGACCATATTATACATGACCATATTGTAACTTATAGTTATGGCAACAGCTTTATGTGCTTTATTAAACCTCCATTAGCGACATACAAAACAGTGGTACAAAATCAAGTATGAAGCTAATCTTCCTGGGGTTAAAGTACTTAACAATAGTACAAATACACTACAATAGTACAAATACACTACATCAAAATTGCAACATTATTTACATACAATATGTATAACTTGTGTGCCCTATTTCCTAAACCTACTCTTAGTTGCTGCTTGTACCTCATGTGCAAAATATTCCAAACTGTTAAAGATCTGTATATGACAGTGTCAGGCAGCTGCCTGTATCCCACGTGTGTTGCACTGTTGCAATTTCAAGAAATCAAATTAAATCAATCCTTCAGCATGGGACGGGGGTCGATATCGACTTCAGACAACCTTTGACCCTTTGCTGACGTCACACGTGGGAAAAATCACGTGTCCACAGCATTTGGGTCAGATAGCTGAGGAAGACTGAGTGATTCAGTCGAAAATTTCTGGTGAGTCAAATTTTGAGTTTGAGAAAAGTTTAAGTTTTTCATAAATCAATCCTTTGTTTCAGGGACTTGCAACAACAATCAGTCCGACGATTGTCTCGAGATCAACCCAGAGGAGTGCGCCTGTGAGTACCTGATAGAGAACGGCTTGGCTACCATTGAAGACTGCATCGAGACCTCACCACCTCCACCGAATGAAAACTGCACAGACCTTGTGGATGTTTGTGATGAATACCTCAGCGCAGTACGTATATCAATCAATCAATCAATCAATCAATCATTCATTCAATCATAGTAAAACGTTAAACTTTATTCCAACACACTATTTACAGGGATCAAATTTTCAGCGACCACTGTCGCCTTCATCAGGATAA